CCCCCCATCCCAATCTGGCTACAACCATCTTTCAGGTCACCCCTGAGACTCCTTTTCTTCAGGCTGAACATCCCCAGCTCCCACAGCTGTCCTCATAGGACTTACAAAAACGTCATGTAAAGCTTCAGATGGTTGCTCCCTGGTGTGCAGGAGTTCCACATGCTAAAGCTTAACACAAGTCCAAAGGCTTGAAAACCCTTACAGATGCTGAATACAAAATCCAAGTGGTCATAACTTGTGGCATTTTTGGTCTTTGTTTTGGCCAATTTTTAATCTGTGGTGGTTACCTCAATTTTTTCCTCACTCCTGGCAGTTTGATGCACTCAGAGTTGCCCAGTTTAAGACTTAAAGTTTCTATGCCCATGTTGTCTACCCATATCATTTTTTAGTGAGGTTTGTTCTTTTCTGTTTGGAGATAGAGGAGGGAAATGCAAATAGTGATTGGCTTTAAAGAAATCACATTGCTTCTACCAGCATATTTGTCTCTCACAATACTTCTATGATAGAGGCATCATACCTGCTTCATCACCAATGATATTAAAGTGAGGTAGCCGTATATTCAGAAATGGAATACGTCTCCTTTTTCTAAGCCAAGATTATCAATTCAGCAGAATGTGAGCCAAAGCCACGGCTTCGTGGTCATTTTGGGAGGAAATATAAATGATGCCACCAGGAATTTTTAATGGAGTCCTGTTTATTTATAAACGACATAGAGAGTCTTTTTTTTTTCCTTTGAACTATAAAGAATCAAAATATAAGAAATAATTTGCTTCTAGCTGTGGTTTGATGGTTCCTCATAGGAATTCAAGATGATGCAGTCATAAGAGCAAGGCTGTGATGATTGCTGCTCTCCTTCATGACGATATTCAGATCACCATTTTTACTTTTATTTTTTAATTTGGACATTCACCAGACATGAATGTCTCTGCATACTGTTGACCCTTTTGACACTGCAGAGGTTATCAATTTAACTCACCCATTTTAAGAGATTGCACAGCACCACTGATCAGTGAGAGCTAAAACCTGGCTCCAGCCTGGAGCGAGCCATCATGATGAAGACCGCTTGTGCCTTGGGACTGTTATTCTCAGGTGCTCTCTGCTGCAGCTCCGGCCTCAGCAGACAGACTGGACCTTTCCAGAGTCCAGAGAGAAGCCTCTGAGTACAGTGAACTGAGTTACAAAGAACTGCAGGAGCTCTGGCCTTTCTGTGCAAGTCCTTGCCACAATGACAATAAAGTATCTCAAGCCATCTGTTAGGGGCTGTAGTACAGCAGAGACACACACCCTGCTGTAGAGCCACCAAGACTACTGATCTAGGCAGAGGATGCTTATATGTGTGTGTATCCCACTGCTGGTCTCTCTTACAGGAGTGCCATGCTTGCCTTCAGCCTTTCAACCCTCAGCCACCCTCCCCTCAGTCATGCTCCAGTGCAGCTCAGCTGAGGATGTGGCGCAGGCGTGGCAGAGGGGCAGCAACAAACAGCATAGACCATAAATTTTTTGTTGCTGCAAAACAGCAACTCAGGGAAGTGCAGGCTTGGTCTCTCTGTAGGGATTTCAGGGTGGCTGATGACCACACAGCTCTCAGCAATATTGCTGTTTGTAATGCACAGGCAGAACGTGCTTAGTGCTGTTTCTATTCCTCCCCTTGCCCAGGCAGATTCTTTTGGCTGCATCTTACAGTCCTTCTTCAGAGGTCCTTTGATAACCTTGTCTCTTCTCATGATTTACTCTTTTCCCCCATAAAGGTGTATCTTCAGTTTGAGAATGTTGCCATGTATAACACAGCTTTCCTCACAGTTGCTTTATGTATCTGCCAAGTCAAAGCATTGTGGTATTGCATTGATTTTTATTTTGTGCAAAAAGATTCTAGTGACATCAGAAGCTGTGTCTGCAGTTCAATTCTGTTTCAAAGAATGATGAGACAAACTTTTACAGTTTCAGGCATGAAAAATCTCAACCCTTTCACCTTCTTTCATCATTCTGTATTAGGGTGAGGGTTTGGTTCTGTATTCATAGAAGGTGAAATTAATCCTAATGCAGAGGGCTGGCAAGCATCTTCAAAGACCTCATCACTGATGGCACTCTCATAAGCAGGTGGTGGAGTGAGTGGTTCTAGTGGTTCAAACCTGTCTTCAATATCTCTGTCCTCATGGATGTCCGAAACAAACCTCTGCGGTCTTGGGGGTAACACTAGCTGCAGCTGTATCCTGGAGCCCGTGTCTGTCTCAGAGGTGGGCCTTGTGTCTGGTGGCACCGACACTCGGAGAGCCTCCACTGTAATCTCTTGTTGGCTAGAGGATTCGATAACGACACTGTAAGGAGGAGGGTCGCTCAGCGGCGAGGGCACTGGGCCTGGGTTGGATGTAATCGTCCATATTGCTGGAGCTGACATGGTCATCACCTCGTCATAGGTGGGCGCTTCATAGGCAGCATTCACCCTTGTGCAAGAGAGGAAGGCCAGTTACGTCAGTTATCTTACTGCTTAGTTTGTGCAGAGACAGACAGCACGGATTATGTACTACAGGGACCATGCTACAATCAACAAACAGATGGGACTGAGAGAGGGTATCTCACATGGTATTGCTGTATGGGGTATTCTGCCCCTAGATCAGTTCACTTGTCCAGCCAACTTAATGTCTTGCTTACTGGTATAGAGAATGGCTCATCTGACCATTTTCCCACACTCCCCAGAATAAGTGAAGTGACCCACACTGTTCAGTTTAGTGTCCTAGGCTTAGCTTGATGTCCCTC